CCAGTTTTTTTTGGAATTCTTGAAACTCCTGGCGTCTTGGGATGGGACCTGCTTTTCCAAACAAATCCCAGACTGAAAGGACCATCTCGTGTTCGCAAATTCCCGAGTCCCTAGCACCAGTATAGCGGCGCAGCGGCTCGTGGAGCGCAGCTGCTAGTAAGGGCTTGAATTGTGTTACGCCCTGTGTTTACAGGGAAGGGGTCTGTCTCGGTGTTGCCATTTAAACATTCGAATTTCTATTTCACACTACCTCCAGGGCCCGTGAGGATCCGATTTCAACGAACGTCTTACACTACCTCCCAGCCCTGAAGCCCTGGCCCGGCCGCCACATATTGAAAAATCGTCAGCGTAATTTGAAAGCAGCAGGGATACCGTGCACTTTCGAGACCGCGCAAAATGGAGCTTGTCGGCACCCCCGGCCTCGCTTGTCGCGGGTGGTTCTTGCGCCCTTTGCCGTTTTTGTCGCTGTTTATCCTGTGCACAAGATGCTGCAACCATCAAAAATGCTCTAACTTGAGGTTCAGTTCATGGGGCTCACGGGTTCGAAATGTTTGTTGGGTTTACGGGAATCGCGGGGTTCACGGAGGCTGTATGGGCTCCCGGGTTTAGGGGGTTCACGGGGCTTGCCAAGCTTGGGGGTTCAGGCAGCAATGGTAAGCCCGTCACAACGTGGACCTTGAACAAAAACGGGCCCTCTGGAAGCTTGCTGGACGCTTTGGAAATGTATGAAACCCAACCTGGAACCCGTTCTTGCAGAGGCCTCTGAACCCCCCTCGATTTTTCTCAAACCCTGCAAACCCTTTGATGCCTTTTGGAACCTTTTCAGACCCCTCTGCATGGAATTATTCTGGAACCCTCTGCAGTTCCTCTGCAACAATTCTAAATCCAAGGCCCGTCACAATGTGGGCCTACTTGTGGCAAGCCCTTTCACAACAGAATCCGCATGCCTGTGTCCTCGTGCTCGCAACGATTGTTGGGAGGCTTCTGAAATCGCTAGATTCTGGAACCCTCTCAAACCCTTCAAAACCGTGTAGAACCTTCTGAAACCTGTCTGGAACCGTCTGGGACCCGCCCTTTCAAACCTTTTGGAAGTGCTCTGGAGCCTTCTGAGTGGACAAAAGAGCCAAGTCTGCACAGGGCTCCTGCTTCAGGCTTGGATGCATGCGTTACCCTGGAGTCACTGGAGCTGCAATGTAGCAGTGACCATTACATAAATTCGAACTGAAGAAGCCACGTTCACAAATCTATAGATCCTTCTGAACCTCTCTTGCAACCCTCTAGAGCCTTCTGAAACCCTGGAACCCTTTGATGCCCCCTGGAACCTTTTTGGAACCTTGCAACAACTCTTGTGGAACCCTTCTGAAACGCCATTTCTTTGAAGGTCCTTTCCAACCCTTTTCAGACCCTTCTGGAACCATGGAATTGGAACTTTTCAGTTCTTTAGAAAGCCTGGCAACCTTGGAACTTTTCTTGACTCTCTGTAAAACCCCTGGAACCCCCTACTCAGGGGGCTCACGCGGCTTGCAGGTCTTGCAGGTTTTGGAAATGTTTTGAACCTTTCTGAAGGCCTTCTTGGACCACCCTGACCCTTGCGCAACTTTCTGCATCCTTCCGGACCCTCTCTCGTCTCGAACCCCTCAAAAACCGCTCGTCTGGTACACTTGTCGCCTCTCGTGCGTGCACTTACCTTGTGCAAAGAAAGTACACGGTGGCTTGTCTCCCTTGTTGCCTTTAGGGGAACTTGGCCTGCCACGGGTCGCGGAGCGTCCTCGCGGCTCCTTGCGGTGCGCGCAAGGGCAGTTTGCCCCCCTTGTGCACGAGACCTTCTGGAAGTCAAAACAATACTTCTCCTCGGTGTCCTTTGGCTTAGGTGCGCTTTTCTTCTTGGGGTCCTTCTTTTCAGGAGCTGCGGCACCAGCCTTGGGCGTCGGGGCTTTGCTTGCATTGACCTTGGACACGCGCTCTTGGTTCTTGCGAAGCCTATCCCTTTCAATCAGATCCCTCATGCATCGCATTAGGAAATCATACGATTTGTTGGGGTCATCATCACGGCAACGATCATATGTGTCAATGTCATACCGCAAGAGATGGCAGCTTCTCACTTGACGAAGCAAAATGTCTTTCAACACCTTATTTTCGGGTGGCTTTTTCATGCCAGCAATGACAGATTCCCAAGCGTTCAGGAATCGCTTCAGGTCAATGATCCCTTCGCCGTGTCGCGAGACACGCAGCAGATCTTCCAAGGAGTAGAGGTTGCCGGCTTCTTCACTTGTCTTGAAATATTGGTCAAACATGAACAAGACCTGCCTTCCCCTCATGGCCTTTCCCTCCTCGGCACACTCTTCTTTTGCAGTCAGAATTCGCTGAGCAAGATCACCCTTCGCCGAGCGCGTGAGCGCTGCGAGAATCTTTGTGTCAAGAGTCACGAATTTTCCGGGCTCACCAAGCTCTTCCAACAGCTTCTTCTTGTCCTCGCGATCCGACCAAACTTCCATGATGCAAGGACAAGCCTCGTCTGGTCGGTCAGGCGCAGTGCGGACGTCCTCACGAACTGACGTTGTCCACTCACGGTATGTTTCAGGAGCTGGCATCTCCTTGAACCGCAGCGTCTCGCTTTCGCGAGTTCTGGGCTTCTCGTCACTCGTGTGGCCCTTCACTAACTTCATCAACATTTTGGCGAAGGCTTCCTGACCAAGGTTGGGCCCGAGGCCATCCCCTTCGTCCTCATCACCTCCACCGTCACCATTCCCGTCGTTATCGGGTGGCGGACCGCCGGGCGGCTTTCCTCCCTGCTTGCGGTCAGTTGGCAGTGGCCCCTGGAAAAATTGCAGGGGCACTGGGGCACTTGTCTTGGTCGGAGACCAAGCACTACCTTTCAATGCTTCACGTTCGGCAGGTGGCATTATGCTGGGAGTGTATTCAACTTCGTAACCATCAGTAGTGACAAGCGACCTCAGCTTTTCCTTGGCATACTGAAACGGATAGGACAATGGGTCCAAAAGAGACTTTTGTGACCGAGCTGATTTCATGTCATCGGTCATCAGTTCTGGCGAATCCTCTCGGCTATCACCCACCCCTTTGGGCTTCGAATCTTCCCCGCGAAAGTCGTGTAGCTTCATTTGCTGGTTGAGATCATCAATCTCCTCCTGCAGAAGCCTGTTCTGGGCGGCCATCATGTCGACGTTCCTGGCATGTGTCGCTTCGACACGCGCAATGTCATCCGCATGCTTAGCAGCCTGTTCCTGAAGGAGCTGCTGAGCATCCGCCAGTGTCACTTCGATAGCTTGCCTAAACTCACTGGTTTTGCGTCTCGTTTCCATTTCATGCACTACCTGGGCCTTATCCTCACATGATCGGCTTATCCTAGCTTCGGCGTGGCTCACCTCTAGGCTGAACTCATCGCTCACTCGCAACTCGCATTCACGAATTCTATGCGACTGGGGTTGCGCACACTCAGCGTAATGTGCATGCAGGTGATTTTGTGCGACACGGAGCTCCTCGCAGTTTTCCGCTTGCAGATGCGTTACAGCTGCCTGATGCAGTGCTTCGGCTTCTGACCTGATTGCTGCATCGTTCCCAAAAGCAAATATCGCGGTATTGTACAGTTGAAAGGAACTCATTAGAGTACGGTTGTGCTGTGCACTCATACTGAAAGCATGAATGCGCGCACCATCGCCGTTGTCGGAGCTTGCTCCCACACCATCCACAGGCATTTCAGATCCATCAACTGGCACAAGGGAACCGTCCATTGCTTCAAGCTAGGGGCCTACGCCTAATAATATAATCACGCTTGAACAGCCACACCGCGGATGCAATTGATGTTAACCCCCAAACTGACCGATTGAATTCTTCAATACCCACATGGGGTCCGTATGATTAGAACCAAGCAACCATCGAAAGCCCTCTGGCTATGGCTCAAAAAATGAAGTACCAAAATGGAACCTTGGTAAGTGGAAACATGGGCCAAATCCCACGGTTTGCCCCTCCTGTTTAATTTTGAGCCACAGCCACCTGTTTTTCCAGCTGAACTTGTCATGCGTTGCTTGCGGCAAACGCCAGTGGCCATGGGGTGAATTTTGGAGGAACATGTGTCCCGTCAACATGAAGAGAAAAAACCGGTGCCACTGGACAACCGGGATATGTATTTTTTTTTCCCACGTGACTGCCTCAAGAAGGGCGCTGGTCTTTGTGCCAAACCCCAGCCCCGTTCGGCACAAGGGGAAAATACTAGCTTCGCTAACATGGTGTGGCATGATGCTGCGAAAATTACTAGTTCACAAACCGGAAATCAGGAAGCCGCCTGCTCCATGTGACATGCATCCCTGACCCTACTCCAACTGAAATGCGAGAATCATGCGGAATCTCATGAACACAACTAAACTGGACAACCATCATGTTGATTGCTTCGAGTGGTGAATGTCAGAGTTCCTGGTCGGCAGTGTCCGTTCAGCTATCAGTCTGCGGCAAGGGTCGTAAACCTAGCATAGGGTCATTGCACGCACATCTCAACTCTCCAAATCATCTCAACATTCAACGATGACGAAGTAGAATTTGTGAAGCCGTCCCGTGCTGAGCTCGACCTCCTTAAGCTAACCAGAATTATAACATCGGTAAAATCTGTCCAGTGTTCAGTATGACTGGGAACGTCCCACAGTAGTGGATGATTTCAAAGCAAGATGCTGAAGACAAAAGAAACAACTTGTTCGGAAACTTGAAAGAGCCTCAATTTGTTCCACAATTGCCCCGTGTGTCATTTCCCCAGGATTCAACTAGATTATCCTGACGGCTTTATAGCAGGTCAGGGTTGCTGACAGAACCAAAATCGAAGGCCACCCTCGGGTATCACAGATGTGGGTGTTGTTCCAAATTAGCCACCGATAAATATATATATATATATACACATTTATGTATGATATATTATATTATATATATTGGTGGCTTCCTTTTGGCTTCCCTGTAAGGCGACCCCAAAAACGGCGACGCCACTTGGACCGCCTTGCCTGAGCCGGAGGTGGCCTCGCCGTTGGCGCTCAGCTGCCTGGAACGGCACTCATTCGCAGGCCGTTGTCAAAGCGAGGGCGGTCCTTTGGATTATATGGCTGTGGCTCAAAATTAAACGGGAGGGGTTACGCGGGTTGTGGTCCATGTTTCCACTTACCAGGGTTCCATTTTGGCACCGGTTTTTTGAGCACACCCATTTAGCCAGACTTGTTGTGGTCTCCGCGGCACGGCGTGAGCAGTACCGGTGGCGCGCTAATTACTCCATAATTACCATGGCCTCCTTTGGATTATATAAACTTGTTCTCATAAACTGATCAATCCCTGCCCTGGAAAGGGTTCCAACCTCAAGGGGACTCAGGTCGCGGTAGTTCGCTCAAACACATTCTTGATTTTGTTGCGACAATATGTCGTGTTTGAATGGTCGCATGCCGGGTTTGGTTCAAGACAATTGTCCCAGTTCTCAGGGTCTTGTATCCCAAGCTTACAAACGTTGGGAGTGAAGGGAAAGGATTCTTCGCGCGGCATAAACCTTTTGGACCTGTTGTATACGTTGTGTATTGAAGGTTTCGCATTCCTTTCTTTGTCTGAGGCAGACTCTTAACTAATAGGCAACTAATACTTTTTTGTATATTGGCTAAATTCTAGAGATTTGCTAGTTGGCAAGGAATGGCTCTAGACTTACAAGCAAGCTTTAGATTGTTGCAGCAATCTATAACTTTCGTTCATGCCGTGATACCTCAGGTTCTTACAACCACACCCCTTTGTAAGACTCTTATGCATATCTCTTGGTTGGCTTCGCAGAGGCACACTGGTCTAGTGATTTACGTCAATCTTTCCCAGGCCCAAGAAACCAAATGAGCCGTGCCAAATACTCTTGTGTAAAAAGCGGTCCTATAAACTTGCTTTCGCGGACCCTTTCGCGATGCTTTCGCCACCCCATGTTTTGCTTTCGCGGGCTTTGGTTTCTTTAGAATTGCTTTTCGCGACGCTTTCGCGGCGGAGCGTCACACAGCATGCAGGCTTTCGCGGGTCTTTCGCGGCGGGACCATCTTTGGTTACTTTCGCGATAAGCTTTCGCAAGCTTTCGCGGCCTGCGTTTTGGCTTTCGCGGGGATTCTATAGGACACCCCCTTTACTACTTTGTATTGTCAGGGTTTCTGGCGCTGCTCAAATGATAAACTGAGGACCAGCAAAGAGGTTCGGGAATGGTTCCAACATGCGGAACGTGACACAACAGGTTTTGGTTGGAAACAAACAAGAAACTGTCTCCCCTCTGCACCAATGTCAGTCTCCCCCAAACTGGGTTGATCAAAATGGGTTGGAACCCCGAAGCCTCACACGGAAAAGGATACCACTACACATAGTTGGCACAGCCTAGGCTTTATCATCCAGGGAATAGTGCCATCTAAAGTTTCCAGACGGGCATCTTAGCTGGAGTCCGCAAGATTGGAAAAACCCTTTTGGCCAAACGCTTTCTGGGGCCAGGGCCAGTTTTTTGTGGGTCCTGAAACCCCAAAGCCAACGGGATTTGCAGAAAAGCCCATAAAGAACTGGGTAGGCCGATGCACTCGAAACATAAACCCCACAGCAAAACCAGTGCATATATCCATATTAGGTTAGAGCTGGGGAACCTGAGTTTGGTTCGTATATTTCACCATGTAGCCTGTCAAGTGCCGTCTTTGCACCAGGCCCAAATCGGACGCGAACGCCTGGCGCGCCAGGCGAGGAGCAGCACGGGTAGCTCCAGTAGCTGCGAGGCCAGCGTCTCTCCTCTCCGAGGCAACGGGCAAGAAGTATTCTCCCTCCATTTGCTTAAGGATGTTCCACAACATGAGTCTTCGGTTCCTTCCAACCAAAAAAAAGGAAAAAGAGCACCACTGGGCAACTGGGTTGGAGAGAAACCCCGAGTGATCAAGTAATCAACCACAACCCTGTTCAGCTTGCTCCATTTGGGTTTTCGTCCCCTGGAAAAAATCTGACATATTTCCAGTAGTGAAATCGATTCCCGTTAAAACCAACAGGGGGAAATAAACAAATAGTCTTAACCAAAGGGAAGTCTCATAATTCTCTCATAACTGGGCTGCCCTCAGATCCCCCCGCTAAAAGTTTAACTTTTAGTTGGTTACATGGAAATCCCCACTAAACCCTAACAAGCTAAAAGGGTAAGGGGATGGCAGCCGTTTCTCATAATACGGCTGTGAATTTCATGAGTTGGCACCCCCTCCAAAGTGGTTGGTGGACATGGATCCCCCCTAAATGATGTCCAGTAAAGGCTCCTAATCAAAATTCAGACCCATATTATGAGCCATGGTCAAAACTCCTGGCCGATGGCGTCATGGTTCCCACAGCAAGAATCATGATGGTTCTTGAGGTTCCTTACTACCAGGTGCATGACTTTCTCAACATTGGGGGACGTTTCCAGGTAGGCGCTGTTTCATTTTAAGCACGCCAAAAAGGGGTGCCTATTTTCAAAACCGCCATATGTGCCACGTTTGCCTCGTTGCCCCTTCAAATGTCCTTGAAGACAACTATGCTTCCATTTGGTCAAGACCCCTGAAAAACATATTTCCAGTAGTGATAAATTCCTGCTTAAAACAAACAAAGTTAAGCAACTGGAAGTATGAGTTCAAACACCTTCTTTGGTGTTTCTCAAAATAGGGCACCAAAAAAAGTTGCGGCTTCCACTTGAGCAGTGTCTTACCCCTTAAAACTCCAAGCCCTGGGGAAAATAACCTTTTAAAGACATATAGCCCATGTTACCCAAAAGTTGAACAGTTGTGTTTTTAAGAGGTAAGGTGTTCAAAACCCAGCGGCCGAAGAGACATATCAAATCCCTTCCGCAAAGGCGTCCGCGGAAGTTTTCGCGGCGTGAAAGGCTCCTTCCGCAAGAGGATTGAAGAGGGAATCGCTTCCGCGTCGCTTCCGCGGATTGAGAAACGGGATTGAAGTTTGTTTTCGCTTCCGCGCGTGAGGGAAAACTACAATATATTGCTTTCGTGATTGAAACGTAGCCCTTCCGCGAAGCTTCCGCAAGCACATGATTGAGAAACCCCTTCCGCGAACCTTGCGCGGCGCTTCCGCGACCTGGGAAAAGTCAACATTTTGAAAACGATACTTCCTCCCGAATACTACTTTCAAGTGCAGGGGCTTTAGAACGCCGCTCACTTGGCTTCCCTGCAAAAAGCCAACCGAACAGGGCTTACCATTGCGAGATTTCCCTACCCTACAAAAGTAGGTAAGAAGTTTATCCAGTAATCATTCGAGCTTCATGCGTCCCAACGGGTGTTGGATGCTGTCCATCCACAGTAGGGTAAAACTTTTTGGACCTACAGGAAACAGCTTTATGTCCTGTTAACAGACAATACACCAGGATACGGGTGTCGATGTTTGGTGGGCCCCTGTTGGTGTCTGGTGATATTGGGCGAGCAGAACAGACATGTCACCACCGGCGAGGTTAACCATTGGACCACACACCATGGCTGCACTAGCAGCAGCAAAACAACAAACACTTTGGACAAGGTTGGACAAGGCCAGCTTCTTAAAACACGGGAAGGATGGATGGATGGATGCACAAACGGACGGAAGGACGGATGAATGCATTAATGGATGGGGCGAGCGACCAGAGGTGCGCGGCCTGACACCGTCAGACCTCCGGAAGCGTTGTTTGGTTGACTGCGGTTGGAGTTCAACACTAACAGCAGCCCAGCAGCTCAACAACCCAACAGCAACAGCCCAGCAGCTCAACAACCCAACAGCTCAGCCCAACAGCCCAACGTGCCGGCGCCACCTCCCAAAGTTCGACCCCATTCTGATTTCACTCACAGCGGTGCTGGGCCACAACCACACAGGGGGGCGCTCTGTCCGTCTACTACCTTCCACTTATCCTTGGTGAAAACACGGAAACCTTGATCATGGAACAACCTCAAACCACGCATCTCCAAACTCCAAGCACCGGGCCCCTCCTCATGGCAAAACCCAGGGCTAGGCTAGCCCTCTATGTTCAGACCTCGCTTCAGTATCCTGATTTGGGCTATCCTTTTCAAAAACCTACAGCAACTGCAACTTTGTGCTTGAACTCATGCCGCAACCACCTCTCGCGGCAAATTCGCAGCCGAGAACCAGTAGGGGCATGCAATACGTTGGTCTCAAGCCCGTCGCGTCCTCCGACTGCTTCGGAGCTCACGCGTGCCTGCACAAGGAGGGATGTTGGAGCCTGTTTTCTTTCAAGTAATGTATTTCTTGCTTGCTGGTTCTCAGCAGGTCATTCCTCAGTGAGCACCCGCAAGTTTTGCGTCCTGGAAAAGTGTCTTACCCAGGCATGCGTCTCCAACAAACTGCTGGAACCCAGGTGCATGTTCGGCATTTCGGGGCAAAATCAACCACCAAGGTTCGGTTTGTAGAACTTGGGGGCTCCTGTGAAGAAACAACCAACTGATGCGTGGCACCGACCCATTGAGGCAAAATCAAAAGCTGCAAAAGAGGTCTGCCCATAGCTGCTTCTCGCCCCTTGGTGAAACCAATCTAGAGTGACATCTATTTCCACCCAAACGTCGACCGACACCTATGGGTCTGCCCAGCCGGCCAAAACCTATGAAGAATGAAACGGGCGGAAAGAAGCTCCAAAGTTCTGATGCACTTTCCCACTAACCCTCAACTACCCGGAACCTGATTACGTCTCTATTTGTCTGTCGAACTTAAGTGATGCACGACTAGAGCGGGTCTCATTCTAACCACGGGTCTCATTCTAACCACCACCAAGCCGATAAGTGGACTAGAAAACGAAGAAGCCTTAGAAACGGCAATGCCGAACGCATGTGTGGAGTTCGGGACAGCAAACGCAGTGAGCCAAATGATCCGTCCGCAGCGGAGAGCAGGCTTTCCGAGCCACTGTGCCCAAAAGAAAACACACCAGAGATGCCCTGAGAAACAAAGCCCGGCAAAGAATGCAACGGTGGAAAAAAGAACAAAACAAAACAGGGACAGACGCAAACTGCTGAGAGATGAAGCCAGGGTTGCATGCATGCAATCACGGAACAAGCGCTTTGAATCTCGCAACAGGACGAACCGATGACACTCATCGCAGGGAAACACACACAAGCTACACCAGGTTTCTTTCTGCATATCTCAATGGTCGGGTGCTTCTGAACAGGCTTCTACTTCATTTTGCAGCCCGGCGTTCTGTCAAAGTCCCGAATCTCGCTTTCCAACGCTGCACGGGCTTGCGATCGCAAGAGTCAGCTTGAGCCTGAGGATAAAGCTAAGGAGGGCCTGCAGTGTTTGTCTTTGTGCGTCGATCAACATGGACCTTTCTTGCTTTGGACGCATGCTCGGTGGGCTCTGCTCGTATGCCCTTCCTGGGGAACTCGTTATGATCTCGTGTTGGATCTCGTTCTGGTGTGATATGGCCATGGGTCAAACTCCCGTACCCCCAGTAAACATCCCAATCCCCACTAAAATAGACTGAAATGGGTAGTGCACCTACCCCAAAATGGCACCATTGGTTTTGACCCATCGCCATATAGCAAAGTGGCGCATCTGCATTCCAGGTGGATTCGAAACATCACTCCGATGCAAAGACACTGCACTTGTAAGCATCTCACGTCATGAACGCACGAACGCGTTGTCGATCCCATCTCCTTTTGGGCTGGTGGTCCTCCCTCGCTTTGCACCCACTTCAGTAGGTACCTTTGGGGCGGCTTCCCTTTGAACCAGCCAGAGTCATTGTGCCACCAGGAAGACTGAAACCCAAGGGTGGTTGAATCTACCCTCCAAGAATCGTAGAAGCTGACAGGAAAGTGTTCGACAACTGCTTTCCTTTTGTGGACGCCACGTCCACGTCCATGTTTGTTGAAGCTAGGTCCTCCAGTAGAGAGGTTAGAATAAGTTGGTAGTCTATTTTAGTAGGGCAACCCTCCCAACCAAAAAAGGTAAAGGGCACATAGCTGGGGCACCTAGGAAGGGAGGGTATAGAATGTACAGTGCCACCTGGGGATACCCCCTAAGCTGCCTTCATGGTAATGTTGCTAGGTGAGCTCGCCATAAGGCACATGCGTTCCACTACCTTCCCTGCATCCTGGATGATTTCGAGCGTCCATAGTGCAGGAACAAGCCGCACATCTGCGTGAATTCTCATGATTCGGGCTCCTGTAAAACTAGGCCCTCATCATAAATGTCATAGGGTGTTTGTTTGCACACCACAACTCCACTGTGAACTGTGAGGTCGCTAAATGAACGCCAGGCAGCCTCCAGCAGGGCAACGCTCGAGCGCAGGAGGTTGTTCGCAGAACCTACGCCGCCCTTTTGGCACTTCCCGTTTTGCTTTGAGACGAGACTGAAACACTCGAAGAAACCGTGGTCCTCATGTGTCCGCTTCAAGCGAATCAACAAACACCTGAAAGGAATCAAAACTGAACATGGCTAAACAAATTGATGTTTAAATCAGTCAAACAAACGACATATAGGGATCCAAGAAACAGTGGCAGGCGAGCCCTGGTTCGCAGAGATGAAGCTTCTCAACACCCAGCCCGGTGACCATGGTAAAAAAACAACAATGATTTTTCCTCGGTTGCTTTCTGCTCCCCTGCTAAAAGCTTAACTTTTAGTGGTTTAATGGAAACAACATTAGTTGGTAAACAGTTTAAAGCTTTAACATCCAATCAACATGCACCAACGTTTCGAGGTTGACCCCATTTAAAGCAGGGAATCAACCAAAGCGCAAGGGAAGACAGGGTGCCACAGAACAACTGGGTGTGCCTTGGACACAGGGAGAAACATGGCCGTGTCCTGTCCAACAGTTCGAGGGATTGAGGATGACTTCTGCCTTTCAGATTGACTTTCTATCAGCTGGGTGTGCTCCAACTCACCCTCTGCAAAGAGTTCAAGGATTTGCTAGCTAGTGGGGAAACCTTGTCTTCGAACCAATTGCAACAAGGTTCAAACTCCAACCAATTTCAACCGAGTTTGAGCGCATGGTCTAAGATGACAGCGGCTGGAGAGCTGCATGGGCCTGTCCAGCCGATATATGGGTAGACCAATGGCACGCCAAGAAAAATCGAAGGACACCGCTGACCAAATGTCTATTCTGGATTGCTCTATACTGCCAAAGGAGCAATCCATGAGATCACCATCAAGGCTCCTGGTGCCTGTGAGCCGACCCAACGAGATACCTTATTTGGTCTTTGGCTTACCGCTGGCAGTTCAAGCCCATCCGCAAATGAAAAGGCCTGCCCCAAAAATGTCGCAATCTTTGTCCTCCCAAAACCATCCAACAGTGGGTCCCCAAGTTCAAGTTGTCCAAACATCCAATCTTTACATGGCTTTGGCAGAGTTGCCACCAAGTGGAGTCAAAAAAGGAAGCTCTTAGCATAAAAGCCGCCTGTCAACCATCCCCCGTCCCCCATAGAAATTTCGAAAGCCTGCTTGAGAAGAATGTATTCACATCGGCAGCTTGCGCCTGGGACATGTACCCATTACCACTGGAGTGCTTCCTAGTGTGCAACACAACATGTCAAAAAAGTTGCGAGTTTCTTCTGCGATGTTGACTCTTGGCAGGGTTGGGCAAACCGCCTAATCAAGCACGCTGCAAACAAACCTAGTTTAAACCACCATCCATTTGTCTTCCCTTAGGGTGCCAGGGTCTGGCTGACTCTTCCCTTTGCGGACTTCCGACTGCCGCCTGTCTTCTCGCAGGTCCTTGGCGGTTCCGGCATGACCAGTGCTAACCTGTGGATGCAATGCGCCATTAGGCTCCAATGAGTTCCAAGCCGTGCGCCAGCTAGGGGCCATTGGGTGTTAAGGAAAAGCACAAGCGAAAACTGCCTCCCCAATAGGGGACGCAGTGAACCTCAACAATCCGAATTCATGGACACTGCAAGAGTGGTTTTCTATAGGTGGGCCAAAGCCGGAGGATGTTTTCCAAAACAGGCCGACCGTGAGTGGCTAAGTGTAAATAGGTCCAACCACAACGAATGACAGTAGCATATACGATTCATGACCCCGATTACAAAAGAGAAAACATCGTCTTGCACGACATTTAGGTCGAGCAGCAAACGCAACTCAAATCTTCTCTATAGAACACGGAGTTACTCACCACACAGACACACACACACACACACACACACACACACACACACACACACACACACACACACACACACACACACACACTAAACGTCTCAGGAGGCCCGCACCCCATGTCGCCTTTTAACAAAAGGACACCTAATGTTCACCCCATGCTCACTGGGCTGCCCTCAGATCCCACGCTAAAAGTGACTCACTTTCATGGGTTAAATGGAAACTACCACTAAACACTAGCTAAAAGGCTAAAAAGCTAAGGGGATGGCTGGGAGCCACCAAGTTCATCAACCCCTCTTTGTCTTTAGCGGGGTCCCTGGGATTAAGTGGTTGGAATCAGACCACTTTTGGAGGGGCCCAAAAACCACCCCCCCCATTAATCAAATGGAGTTGCTTCGTGTGGGGTCAAGATGAAAGGGTACGGCACGGTCTTTCCACAAACATCTCAGCTGAACTCAGTCTTCGCACAGGATCATGGTTCTGCAAAACCGCCCTTTCTCACAGAAGAAGTGGCAACCTCACACCCAATTTGCCCCAACCATAAGCAGGAACTCCGAAATGTGCTTGAAGCTGCGGACCTCCACATAGTGGCTTCGTTGTGGTTCCCTTTCAAAGCACACCGCAGCTTCCCCCCTGGTGGGTTGGATTGCTGGTGCGGTGCACGGGGGTTGCCCATTCACCCTCTACAAAAGCCAGGGGTTCGCATTGTCAAATCCCCAAACCACCAATCCAAATTGGCTGTGGCTCAAAAAACCGGAATTCCCAAATGCCTTGCCCTGGTAAGTGGAAACATGGAAACCAAAACCTGCGGTTGGCCCCAGGTCGGTTTCATTTTCAGCCACATCCCAATCCAAACCAATCCAAATCCAAACCACCAATCCAATCCAGGGGGATACCTTGAGGCAGGGCCTCCCGAAACCGGCACCGATACCTTGAGTCACCTTTGATCCAAACCCCATGGGCTCAACCTGACCGTTAACCAAAAAACGCCCTCGGAATCGCCGCCCGCGTTGGATGGGTGGCCTACCCAAGTTTTCATGTTGACGCCCTCAGAATCTCCGCCGCCCATGAAAAATGTCGTTGGTCGCTCTCTTTTTTTTGGCATCTCCAAGCATCCAGAGGTCCACGCCACATTGGCCCAGCGCCAGCAGTGGCCCCAAGTGCCTGGGTCGTTCGAGCGCTACAAGCTGGGTGAAAACTCCCATGGGTTTGGCGCAAAGTCAAGCGACCAGGAAATGGACCGCAGGTTTGAGTCCTTCCATTTACCAGGGCAACCCATGTTGGGTATGTTTGAACCACACCCAAATGAGAGGGTCTTGGTCTTGGAGCCTTAGAAGGGTTGAATTCCTCAACTTCCTGAGAACTTGGCTGCTGACAATCCAAGAGAACCCACTCCATGAGAACCCGCAAGTAGAGAGTTCTGCTGAGCATGGAAGAGTTGTTTGAACCCCGCAACGCAACAAATGGTTCTGGATGCACCACATTCCGATTCGCTAGTGGCTCTTGACCTTTCTCCGAAACTTGCTTCTTATACACTCCCACCTACTAGAATGGAACAGCAAAGGGTCAAACTGCCAACCAACGGGAACCCAAGAATAACAAGACCCTCGTTGATGGGTGGGGTGTTCCATGTAGAGGGGATCCTTCACTTTGCCAGGAAACACCCCCCTAATTCGCAGGGTTGAATAAACCGGGGGTTGACAGGAAACAAAGTTGCAGGGATGAGGAGGGAACCCCCAAGCAGGACAATAGATGCTGGAAACAAGACCAGCATTTTAAGGCGGTCGTGCGGCGAATCTGCGACTCTCGAAAAGGAATCTGCCATTTCGAGTGGCCAACACTTACTCGGGAGTTTCTCAAAATGGTGAACCCATCTTTTGGTTGGCGTTTCAAGGGAGACCCAAAGTGTTGAAAACAATCCAACCATCTTAGGGAAAAATCACCTTCTGGTTGGCGTTTCAAGGGAGACCAAAAGTGTTGAAAGCAAACCAACCATCTTAGAGAAAAATCACCTTTTGGTTGGCGTTTCCAGGCGGACCAAAAGTTTTGAAAGCAAACCTACCATCTCAGGAACCCCTTCTTGAACTAGGTCCTCCAGTAGAGAGGTTGGAATAAGGGTGCCCTTTTTTCTGTCTATTTTCGTAGGGTCCCGAACCCTCCCAACCAAAAAAGGGGTGAGAAAGGGCACCTGGGAGACCTAGTAAATGAGAAACACCCACTTCACGGCCCGGCCTGGACGCCTTCGCTTCCACCTCCGGCGAGAGCATCGCGACACCTTCGCGGGGCAACAAGGCCTCCAGGCCACAGCAAAGCTCGGCAGCCAGCTGGCCTCGCCGGTCCAAACTGATCCCCTTTCTGATAGTGACTAGCTTTTGGTGGATTAAATGGAAACCCAACCACTGTAGCAACTAAAAACAACTAAAAGCCTAAGAGACAAGACGATTTGCTGGGCACCACCAAGCGTACCGGTTCCGCGGAAGGAAAGAGTTATTATATTCTAAAATCTATGTTGAGATCCTTTCCCAATGGCTTGCAAATGCCCAAGGGATGGACACAAAGCCAGCGTTGAAGGTATGAACTGCTCCCCTGACTGGCTAGAGTCCGACGAGTTGAACGTTTGCATGCAGCATGAACCCCGTCATATGCAATGATGATGAACAACTGTGTCTCAACCATGTTGAAACAGGTGGTTGGACCGACCTTGCTGTACACCCAATGCAAAGGATTCCTAGTTTTGAGGCTCCGTGCCAGTCCCGACGGCCCGTGAGGCCTCTGGCTGCAAACATAACAAACGAAAAAGCAACGGATTACTTTGATTACAGTAAGTGGCGATAGACTGAAACAAACAAGCAAACCATAACACATATCAGCTGCGGCTCAAACTTCTTCTCAAAGCCCTGCTTCCCACAACCGAATTTCTCCGCCCCGAACGCAGCCCAGGCGCGTGTGGCACCCTGCACTTCTGTGCTCCTAGGCCGGGTGAGGTATGGTGCCGGGCACATGGTCACCTCCTGGATGACCTTCTTGCGAGGAAAGAAGTGCTCCCTCCATTTCGTGACCCAACGAGCAGTAGGTAAATTATCCGAACCGAACCGCACACAAAAGGCATACCAAGAACAGTGAAGTTCTAGATTCACGGTTCCGGCAAGCTTCTCTCAGAGCCTTACCAATCTTACCAGGGCTGCCTAAGAAACCAGCGACATACAGGAAATCCCACGGTTTTTGATGAGTGCTTTGCCAATTTCCTGTAGTTGTTTTTTTTCTTGTTTCTTCTGGTCAGGTCCAGCTTAGTTCCAAATCCAGGATGCAACCCACCCGATTGCTTCTAAACAACGATTTCGTGTCTGAGAGCATCTCCACTTCCGTTTACAATATGCTCGTAGCTCAAATGTCCGTCCGGCTTCTGAAGCGCAATCGTGCTGGTGCGATCGGCGGGGAATGAGAATTGGAATGACCCTTGTAAACCATCCATCCTATGGTTTCCTTCAAGGTTTTTTGTTGTTTCATTCCATTTCTCACTCCCCATGGTTTTCTTTCAGGCTGTTCTTTTGTTCATTCCATTTCTCATTCCTTACTTGTCGCACCAAGCTATGCCCCTGTCGAGCGAAAACTCGCGTCTCCTCTGCGCCCAAGCGCTCAACGCCTCCGCCAGCTTCAGCCGCCCCCCGTGCCGCGGCCGTTGCGCCGCCGCCGCCTTCAGCGGCGCCAGCAACGGCGCCAGCAGTGCGCGGGGCAGCGGCGCGTCGCCGCCGGCGCCTCGGAAATGACGTGGCCATGGGTCAAAATCCCGGTTGGCCCCCAGTGAACATGCCAATCCCCCACTAAAATAGGCTCTAAAATGGGTGGTGAATTCACCTACCCTAAAATGGTACTGTTGGTTTTGACCCACAGCCACTTGCTTGGAGGTTTAAACGAAGACACTCATCAGGGATAGGCCCCCCACCCCCCCGGCCAGGGTCCACAATTAGCAAATCTCCTAAGTCTGAGCCTACGACTTTTTAACAGGGAAGCCCCAAGAAGCAGTGTGGTTCGGCCAGGGATGTTTAAAATGTTGCTCAAGCAGGGAGTCTGCCCAAAATCCACAACAAACTTGGTTGGAACCATGGCGAGTGGGGAAACTGCCCTCGCCATGGTTGTAACTTGCCAAATGGGTTGACGATCCAAGTAGGAAGTGCTCAATCTCCCTGGTTGGACCTGATTGAATCCCAGCCTAGGATAAGCCAAAGGTTGAGTAATTATTGCCTTAGGATCTACTGTAGTCAGAAGTTCCATAATTTCGACCTCCACACCACATCCAAACACTCATGCTCGGAAAAAAACGTGGTACATTGAAGGGATTAATGTGGTACTTGAAGGGATTCCAACTTGTTCCCTACTCAGGAAGTGGTCATATTGCTGGACATCACCTATGAAACCCCTAGAAGAGCCTCATTCAGCCTTATCCTTGGCGTATCCAGAGATCAGCCCCGGCCCCCCCGCGTCCATAATTAGTCTGTCCAAATCTCCTAAGTCGGGCTGTGTCTACACCAAACTGCACTTGGACTTTCTAACTGGATGACCCTAATATGAATTATCGAAGATACTTTACCCAAAGGGAATAGAGTGTAAAACATGTGTAAAATGGAACAATAGCGGTTACATACCTTGCTGACCCTATTCCCAAATTGTCGCAGATGGTTTACCCAAAGGGAATGCAGTATATAATATGTGTGAAATGGTCTCTAGCGATTTCACAGCGCATTTGACTGGACAATAACATATAGTCTCAAACGGTGTTCATTCCCTTCAAACTAATGGGCGTATGTAGCAAAAGCCCAACATAGGAACATAGTACGTAACTAGGCAGAGTAGACTTGCTAAGCGGCATCATCCAAATAAGCGGCCAGCCCGCTAAGCCGATGTGTCAAGGGTCAATCAAAGGTGATCCCCACATATGGAGATTCAGACCCGCACGTAACAAGGGCTCACTCAACACTCACGGTGAATGCAAATCATTAAGGCCAGAAGCCTCATAAGGTGGTGTGGAGGCAGTCTAGACATGGAGCCAGGGATGAGGTCGGTTTCCAGCAAATATTGGAGATGTCATGACTCATTTTTTTCTGGGAACCCTTGTGGCCATATGGTTCCCTCGAGATGAAGCCAAATAGCTGGGAACTTGCACAGCATTGACGTCTGAAGCAGCTCCGGGGGCAACAGTGTCATGTGAAACGGGGAAAACACGAGCCTTGGCCCCTGGGACTTCAACGTTGCCAAAAGGAAGAGACTCTAAGGGAAACTTCCATTCTTTCCAAAAATCCTTCTTTCAGGAAACCATCAAAAACCCAATGGAAACAGCTGGTTGTTGAAAAGAACCATGGCTAAAAAGAATGGGGAATCAAACCCTAGGGACATTTTTATTCAGTTCAGGGACAAGAAAGTCACAATAGAACCTCATTTTTGTCTTTTAGGGTTCTGTGGTGAAGCCACCAAAGAAAAACGGGACTTGGAGTCCACCACTGAACAGCTGGGATGAAAAGGAGGGTGATTATGATTCCTTTGTTCATGCAGTGCTCAACGTCTGTGTTGTCATTTTACTCACCCGAGAAATCCCGGAGTGGATCCTTTGCACGAAACTGACTCGATATGCCAAACGGCAGTGGCAGATCAGACGCCGGCAAATGGAGGCAAGGAGCTCCAAGAAGTCCTGCGAGTTTCGGTACCGAAATCGCCTGGCTTGGAATCAAGGCTTCAACTGATGAGTTGGAAACTTGAAACGCGAAAGGGTTGGGGATGGTTGGGACCCCGGGGAAAAAGACGAAAAGCATGCTGAAAGATAAAAAGACGTGTGTCCCGGTTTAGAGGGCATGTTTCACTTATGGCGAGAAACACGTGCCTATAAAATCGACAGGTATGTTTCTTCGGGGTCAACATATCAGAGTGGTTGCAGAAACAGGGGAACTGAGATTGAGGCTCTCTAAGATTTGACTCAGGCTAGAAGTAGATCGGCAAGTTTACAAGACTTTCAAAACTTGTAAGGAAACCAAATACTAGGACAGAAATTAAAAGGTACTTCCAGAGAACCTTGGTACTAAGTTTTTAACAGCTTCAGCATATTTGCCTTTTGACATGGAAGTGTAAGAAGCCCCTTCAAGAGGGGGCTGGTTAATTTCCCAACACGGAGATCAAATTGCAAAACCAGTGGAACAAACCCTATGTGAAAAGAAGGCTTGCCCAAAAGGTATGCACGGTGCCCGCTACTCGGGGTCTCAAGAGACACTCAATCCATCTGCAAGTAGCAGATCCATCTGCAAGTGCGCTGCTTCGACTTCTGGAGGGGCTCGATACAGCCGTGAGCCAGCAAAGGGATCGTCGCGTTCGACGTGCGAGACATCTGTTGGGCGTGATCTCCCAGCAATCTTGCGCAACCAGATCTTGTGGAGCACTCTCCATCGAGATCCTTGCAAGAGACCTGCGCACAGATCCTTAGAGATCCTGCAAGATCTTGCGCGAAACCTGAGCGCCGAGATCTTGCGCCACAAGTTCTATTTGGATCCTCTCTAAGAGCTCCTGCGCATCATCTTCTTCTTTTTTCGAGATCTTGTTGCGAGACGGTGCATGGACTGATTGAGAACCTCCCAGGGCCACAGATCCGGCGCCTGATCTCCTTGCGCACTTGAGCGGAGCCGGCCTTCAATTGAGTCATAATCAAATTGAAATGGTTGACCCAGAACCCTGTAAAGAACTAAGATTGCGGTCGAAGCTACTTGTGGTTGGGATTGTCCCTTATTAACCTTCATCTACCCAGGTTTTGATTGTTGCTCAGGTGAAGGCAGTCCTGGGACATAGCAGCAGCTGAAAAGGACATTGCGGAACCCTCCCCCAAAAAAGTTGGTACAAAGGCACTACTGGCCGAGCAAGTCAATTGTGCCTGCAAGAAAACACCCAACGACGTCTGCAAACGAAACGTCAGACAGCGCTTTGTCAGCGCTTAGCAGGCGGTAAGAAACGTGGAAACGTGCGGCACGCGTCCTAGGCACTCATACTCATAAGGTCTGCTCAAGGCCTCCTTTCTGCTATTTGTTGACCGTATATCGATTTTCCGTATCCATAAACATCCAAAAAATCCATGTATATATTTTACTGAAATCTGAAAACACACCTATTATCAATACAAATAGTTTGCGTGCGTATCTACCCGTACCTATCCGCATACGTTCTTGCACAACGGGCGCGTATCTAAATAACTATTTTGCTGGCGCAGAATAATGCCAGTCTCCTCCAGGTAGGAACCTTAAAACAGAAAAAAGCCGCGCGGGAAGCGCGTGCTTGTCATTGGGCAGGCGCGCGCGCCTGTGTGTGTGTGTGTGTGTGTGCGTGCCGTGCGTGCGTTCGTACGTGCGTGCGTGCGCGTGTGCGCGTGTGCGCGCGTGCGTGCGTGCGTGCGTGCGTGCGTGCGTTGCGTTGCGTTGCGTTGCGTTGCGTTGCGTTGCGTTGCGTTGCGTTGCGTTGCGTTGCGTTGCGTTGCGTTGCGCTGCGCTGCGCTGCGTTGGGTTGGGTTGGGTTGGGTTGGGTTGGGTTGGGTTGGGTTGGGTTGGGTTGGGTTGGGTTGGGTTGGGTTGGGTTGGGTTGGCTTGGGTTGGTGGGTGTGTGCGTGTGTGCGTGTGTGCGTGTGTGCGCGTGCGCGTGCGCGAGCGCGTGCGCGTGCGCGTGCGCGTGCGCGTGCGTGTGGGCGTGGGCGTGGGCGTGGGCGTGGGCGCGTGGGCGTGGGCGTGTGGGTGTGGGTGTGGGTGTGTGTGTGTGTGTGTGCGTGTGCGTGTGCGTGTGCGTGTGCGTGTGCGTGTGCGTGTGCGTGTGGGTGTACGTGTGCGTGTGCGTGTGCGTGTGCGTGTGCGTGTGCGTGTGCATGTGCGTGTGCGTGTGCGTGTGCGTGTGCGTGTGCGTGTGCGTGTGCGTGTGCGTGTGCGTCTGCGTCTGCGTCTGCGTCTGCGTCTGCGTCTGCGTGTGCGTGTGCGTGTGCGTGTGCGTGTGGGTGTGCGTGTGGGTGTGTGTGTGGTGTGGGTGTGGGTGTGGGTGTGGGTGTGGGTGTGGGTGTGGGTGTGGGTGTGGGTGTGGGTGTGGGTGTGGGTGTGGGTGTGGGTGTGGGTGTGGGTGTGGGTGTGGGTGTGGGTGTGGGTGTGGGTGTGGGTGTGGGTGTGGGTGTGGGTGTGGGTGGGTGGGTGGGTGGGTGGGTGGGTGGGTGGGTGGGTGGGTGTGTGTGTTTGTGTTTGTGTTTGTGCTTGTGTTTGTGTTTGTGTTTGTGTTGGTGTTTGTGTTGGTGTTGGTGTTGGTGTTGGTGTTGTTGGTGGTTGTGGTTGTGTTTGTGTTTGTGTTTGTGCTTGTGTTTGTGTTTGTGTGTGTGTGCGTGTGTCTGTGTGTGTCTGTGTGTGTGTGTGTGTGTGTGTGTGTGCGTGTTTGTGTGCGCGTGTGGGCGTGGGGGCGTGTGGGCGTGTGTTCGTGTGCAAGTGCGAGTGTGAGCGAGGGAGTGAGTGAGTGAGTGAGTGAGTGAGTGAGTGAGTGAGTGAGTAGTGAGTGAGTGAGTGAGTGAGGGAGGGAGCGAGTGAGTGAGTGCGTGAGTGAATGAGTGAGTGCGTGAGTGAATGAATGAATGAGTGAGAGTGTGTGGGCCTGAGCGTGTGCTTCTAATTTGGCGGGCGGGCGTGCAATCCTGAGTGGATGCGCCTCAGTGTGTATGCTTACCATCCGGCGTGTGGGGGCTCCTCAGCGGATGCGCTTGAACACTGCTTCTTGGCCCGGACCAAAACAAACTTCTTCTATTTGGGGAACCCACAAAATGGTGGGTGTTCCTGTTGGTTTCCCTTTACCACCACACAAAGGGGTTCGGCTCCACTTGATTCTGGTCAAGCCCCGCCCCCACCAAAACCTTCTCGCCTGCTCCTTTCCCAGGCGCTCCATGAGCCACGGCAGCTTCACCAGCAGCGCCTCGCACGGCCCATCCAGGCGCACCTCGAGAGCGTCCGTCCGCCGTACGAGCATTGAGCTGATCCAGAAGAAACGGAAATTACCACAGACAGACAGCCAGGGAGACAGCCAGGCAGACAAACACAGCCAGCCAGCCAGCCAGGCGGCCAGTCGGACACACACGCAAACAAACCGACCTCCTCCCACGCCGACACCGCCTCGCACTGCAGGGCGGCGTCCAGCACGTGGAGCAAAGCTAGGCGCTGGCGGCTCGGAAGGCCTCGGGCACCAGTCCGTCGCGTGATTTTTTCATGGCCTCGGGCTTTACAAAACCATCCGGGTGCGGGTTTTCAACAAAAGCCTTAAGAAATACGACTCGGGATCCTGCGAAACAGAACTCGTTGGATTCAGGGGATCGGAAGCCACCCCCTTGTATGTCGGAGTCAGCCGCGCTCCGGCAAGCCTTGCCGTCTTGGGGTTCCTTAAGAC